TGAAACCAACTACAATTTCTTGAGTAGCTGCAGTGTGGTTAAGGAAAGGAAGCTATGCTTGTTTGTATGGAATCTGCCATTTCCTCCCTGCCAAAACACTTGTTTAAAAAGTCATGTAATATTTCTATTAAATTGTAAATGCAGCCGACAAGGAAATGGCCTACTGGCAGAGCGTCACCTTTGTGGCAGTGCCAACGGGCCTACAGCAAAACAGCGCACATGGTAATTTCAACATGCATTCCCAAGTAACGAAATTGTTCTCTACATAAATACCACAGAACCTGAGCAAGATCCAGAAAAAGCAGGGAAAATTTGCCCAAGCTTTCATGCTTGCCTATATCAATTGTATGTCATAGCTAAAGCAAAATAGAAAAGCATCTACATATGTTCAAGACGCTTGTGAAGTTGGATCATATAACCCTGGGAAAACTATTGCAACTTAAATCTGTGTACTTCTTGTTAACCACTGTAACAACTTGCTAATAAAAATTAAGAAAAACTGAGGGTATCAAATGAATCAAAATGTACCAGCTAAATACAAGCCCTGAAAGATCATAATGCAACTTATTAACAGGAACATATGTTCAGTATAAGCCACAATTGTTATGTCAAATTATTTCTGTACTTCTGTCTTTAATATCATTTATTTGATTACAGAATTTGAGAGATTCACAAGCCTTCAGTGAAAATGGTGACTTGTAGTTTACAAGTGACTGTAATGCATACAAAGTCACTTTTATCATGTGTCCCTTGTCTTTCACTACATAACACCCCATCTGTAATGAAGAAGTTCTAATCATGTAAAAGATATACTGAAAACTAAGTATCAATACACACAATCTGAACTAGCATAATCAAGACATATGTTCTCTAGGATAGTAAACAATTCTTTCTGAGGACATTTAGTTGCAAGATGCATTTGTTTTAAGTATGTCTTAACTGTTGTCATTTTTGTGTGTCTGTATAATGCTAAAAGTCAAACTTGATAAAAAAGCTATTTCTTACCAAAAATATTATGAATTTCCAAGTGTTGTACACTTGAAATCACAGTTAGTACCTGTCAATATACCAATCTCTAAGCCACAAATTCACTGACTTGTATGTTTTCTGCAATAACTGTTACCTTAATTCTCTACCCTCAACAGTCACTATAACAAATTGAGGATGAAACAGTATCTGTAATGATAACATACTAATCCCACAAGATCACTTTAAAACAGAAATCTTCCACATGGTCTAACAATTCTAGTCCTTCGCAAACCCATGCTCCTGGGTCCAGAGACTAGAACTAGAGCATGGCAATACTGTTCTTCCTGGTCAGTAATGAGACAGGGCCTAAATACTCCAAAAAAATAAAATAAAATTAATCTACAATTTAAATCATTTTCATTAAATAAAAGGCTGGAAGGCAGGATACAAGGAAGGATGGGTGTTTCAAGCTGTATCTTATTAGCATTTACAGTCAGCTTTTATGTATTTCCCAGGACCTATGTTGTAAGTTAAACATTTATTATTTTAAGAAAGAAGAATTTGAACTCACCAGATGTCAGTACTAGTCACAAAAGCACCCTCCAAAACTTAGTTCACACTCACTTAACAAAAATATTTACTGAATACTTTTATATACACGTCATTCTGACAGGTTTAGTTCAAAATAAATGTGAAGCACACTTCCTTTAAAACTAAGATCTAACATGAAATATAAGACAATTGTCTCATTAAAATGTGCTGTTAGATACATTATTAATATAATACGAGAGAAGAATTCAGAGAAAGGGTTGTTTTGTTTTTTGAGGCAGGTCTCAATATAGAGACCAGGCTGGCCTCAAACTCTCAACACACCCATACACATAAACACATACGTAAAAACAAATAAGCAAACTCCATTTATCACCATTAGAAAGGAGAGAAAATGTATCTGTCTGCATGGCCCATTATTTCCATATTTCTTCCTGTAGCAGCAGGTCCCACATAGGGTCCTGACCCCGCCTTCACTGCCCTAATGGGCCAACACACCAAGTCAGATGACGATAAACAGTGCTTGCTTCTTCCCACAGCAAAAGTTCCCTAGGAAAGATGGTAACTAGAACTACATAAGAGTCTTTAAGAACTTTAATCATTTATAAAAACTGAAAAGTAATTGCAAAATGCTACCTAACAATTCGATTTTCTTTAATGTTTAAGCGCATTTCCCAGATATCTCATTTGAACTTAACAACTCTATGAAGTACACACAAGAGGGGCCATTACCGCTAATTCACAGACAAAAACTGATTCAAGTCTCAAAATTCTCAAATATCAGTCACATCACTACTATGGGAAAAAACATATCTAAGCAAGTGATTATGAAAACCTAATCCCATATCAGTCTTGGAAGTCAGCAGCACTATTAAGTCGTGTTCTTATTACACAGAGTTGGTAGGGCCTATTACGAATAGGAGGCCAACAAGATAGCTGAACCGTTAAGGGGACTTGCAGCCTAGCTACTGACCTAAGCTCGATCCCTGAGTTCAAATCTTGGTTATGCTACTGACAGCTTAAGTCATATTAACAAATAATGTAACCCTTTACTGAAAGGTTTCATCTAAACTACCTGGTGGTATGGAAACACTTTCAAATACATTTTTTCACTGTCCAATTCTAGGGAGGGCCCTTTTTTTTACTCTTGGAAGGCTCATTTATCTTAACCTCCCCTCCCCCCAACACACACCAAACCACTGACAACCGGATGGGACTGCACCAGTTACTATTTCACCATTTCATCACTAGCTTTATCAGCTGCCCCCCCGGACAACAGTGTCGTATTCCGTGTGACAAACAGCAGCACGTATCGAGCACTTCTCTGTGCTTGACGCCAGGTTGGCCCAAGGGAAAGTCCTCAAGTGCAAACAAACCAACAGACAACTCCACTTTCTACACATCTAATGGAAAACCAAGAAAGAACCATGGAAATGTGGTCATGTCAAGGAAGCAAGAGTGCTTTCAGTAAGGGTTCAGGTGTGAAGTCGACCTCACACTTCACTACTCCAGCTGGGAAACAGCTCACAATACTATCTAAAGAGCAGTCTATAACCGTATCACACTTGGAAACGTACACGGTAACCATCCAAAGATGATAGAGTTGTGTGTTCTATATGCAAATTATGAGGAGAAAAACAAAAGTCTATATGGGCTGTTGATGTCAAGGAAATCTCCATACATCTAAATAAAATCTGAGGAGAGGGAGAGATGGATCAGTACTTAGTTCTCTTCCAGAGGACCCAGGTTTGGTTCCCAGCACCGCCAAGGCAGCACACAACCACCTATACCTCCAGTCTCCGAGGAGCTGATACCCTCTCTGGCCCCTGTGAGCACCAGGCACAAATCAGACATACACAGGCAAATGCACACATATGAAACAAACAAACAAGTAAAACCTTAGTTGGGACTTCAAAATCTGGCAGATTTTAAATGATAGAAAAAGAGACCAAGTAATTCTAAGAAGAAGTTTGCAAAATATGCAGTGTATCTAGATATTTTTAAAGAGAAATACTGTATTCTAATATATTTTTACTATTTTATAAGTATGAATTCAAACTCAAGTGAGTTTTAAGAACATTAAGTCAGAGTCACAAACTACAATTTTTTCAACCTGGCAGAAGTTCTCACCAGAGAATCATACCCCATGAACACCCTGACAGAGGACCAGAGGTGACTGATAACTAGAGAATCATACCCCATGAACACCCTGACAGAGGACCAGAGGTGACTGATACTAGAGAATCACACCCCGTGAACACCCTGACAGAGGACCAGAGGTGACGGATACTCAAAGAAGAATGAGAGTTTACATTCCTGTGCTGACTTTCCTATTTTTCATGTTGTTTTCAAATACATAGTTACATTATGTTTTCTTTTTAATATTGCCAAAGGAGCTTATGGGTACAAAGATAATATAAATGGAATACAACTGTACCACTACAGTAACTGTCTGGTAATGTGCCTCAATATGGCATGTAGATTTTTAAGTATTTTCAATACTTCAATTATTTGTATTGTTATGATATTAAACATAATTCCAATTTATTCCTCATTAGATATTCAAAAGTATTCCCGTCTTCCTTTCTCCACCGATTTACTTCATTCTTCTCTCTATGTCTCCCTATCTTTTCCATAAACACGTTCTTCCTCCTTTACTCCGACAGTGGTCCTAGGGCAACTACAGCCACTAGATGGCAATAAATATATACAAAGATAAAAATGCACATCTATGCCAGAGTCACATAGCACTGTAATCTAGATACAGTGTCATTACAAACCCTAAAGCACAACAAGCTGGACTTCAAATGCAAGGCTACCATGGAAAGGAGTTTATGGGGGCAGGGTAACAGTAAGCAGAAAAAAGAGTATTTCTAAATAAATAATCAATTTTAAAGAAATATATCTAGTTCCCTTACAGATAGATAGCAACAGTGAGCATAAGGACTTTTACATTTTTTATTTTACATGTTTGGGTGTTTGCCTACAGGTCTGCCTAGCAGACACAGAGGTCAGAAGATGATATAGGAGCCCATGAAACTGGAGTTACAGATGACATGTGAGTGCTGAGACTGAACCCGGGCCCTCTAGAAGAACAGCACGCTCTTAACCAGAGTCGTCTCTCCAGCCCCACTGGGACTTTAAATATCAGCTTAAATAACACAGAGAGGTAGGAACTGAGGCGTGCATAAGAAAGTGGGGACTCGTTTCTTAACCCCTTCCAGCAGCCTTTGGAAAGCAATGAGCTAAAGAACACAGAAGCAGCGCATCCCCTGGAAAGCACGGCTCTCGTGGGTGGCATTAGTGCGTGCTGAGGACACACAGCCCCGAGCTCTTTGCTCACAAGCGACTGTGCAGTGGAATAAAGTGGAAACCTAAGTCTCTGACTCACGAAAATGCATTCGCTTTCTGTTTGTTTATGTTGTCACTGCAAAACTGCAAGAGTCAAAACCAGTGCTTTTAGCAAAACATAACTTCCTTACCCTCATTGGATGTATATCAGCATAAGGGGGTTTCCCTTCTGCCATCTCTATAGAAGTGATGCCAAGGGACCAGATGTCAGCCACACAGTTGTAACCTATTTCTTGAATTACCTCAGGAGCCATCCAAAATGGGGTTCCTATTACAGTATTGCGTTTTGCCATTGTATCCTGCAAAGATATTATATAAGCATAAATACTACACAAAAACACAAAGGAAACAGGTATGCCAGCATATTCATAAAAACCTGTGATCCACTAATAACATAGATTCTATTAAACACTGACTATTTTCCTAATGCTTCAACTAGTTACAACATGACATATTTTAGGAATCTTAAACTATAAAATAACCAAGAGATTTTAACTCTTCCTCATTTTATTAAAGACAGTCACTTACCATAGTATGATAACAATAGAAGCAGTGGAAGAAAACCAGTGTACCAAAGGACTCAATTTGCTTCCCTTTCACAAACTTGAGCATTTGGATGATAAAACGTCTTTTATTATCTACTGACCCAAACACTGTAAACAGACTCAAACATGGCTTCCTCGCCATAAGAATAACAAAGTTATCCTTCCATTTGTCCCAAATATCAGTTTAGTCAAAATCAAGTCTGAAAAATAGTCCAAAATATATCCAAATTATTAAAGTCAACTTACTGTTAACTGGCCAGCCACTCCAAAATCTGCAAGCTTTGCATGCCCTTCTGTATTGAGGAGAATGTTCCCAGCTTTTATATCTCTGTGTATTTTCCTCATAAAATGCAAGTATTCTAATCCTTTCAACGTAGATTTTAGAATAGTTGCGATTTCGTCTTCTGTTAACTGGAAAGGAATATTTTTAAAGTAATGATGAAATACAATATCAGATAAAATCACAGAGACATCATAATAAAAACATCAGTAACAAGTTCATACTTTATTTCTTCTTTTTTGTTTTTACCTTTTGTTTTTCAAGACAAGATTATCTGTGTAGTCCTGGCTGTTCTATGTATGGCTCTGTAGGCTAGGCGGGCCTCAAACTCAGAGATCCACCTGCCCCCACCTTCTGAGTGTTGGGATTAAAGGCAGGTACCACCAGCGCCGGCACAAATGCCTCTTTCCAACAACCATTAAACCTCTACACAAGAAGCCACAAAACTCCTGCCCTCCACACAACGCTGTCATTCCACTATTACACACTACTGAAGAATGGAAGATTAAATTTCTTTAATATTATCCATGACACTCATAAAGATGCATACCCCAGGATATCATCATTTCTCTTGGAGCCACTATAACCTGTTTTTTAATGAGTATTTCCTTTACCTTTTATAAAAATTCTGTAGTATAGCATGATATTCTGAAATAACAATAGGTAAATATTTGTTCTTCTTTCTAGGTTCCTATTACTAGAAAAAAATTTTCTAAATCCCTTGTAATTTGCTGAACAAAAGAGATGAAAGGAAAACACACACGCACACACGCACACACAAGAGGCAGGGTCTCATGTAGCACAAGGTGCCTCCCATCTTACTACCGAGCTGGAGAAGACACCGAACTTCTGGTCTCCCACCTGTCCAGCCTGAGTGCTGGGCTTTCAGGCATTCATCACCACACCCACTTCATGTGGTTCTGGAAAGCAAACCCAGGCCTTCAGACAACGGCAAGCACTCTACCAGCTGAACTACAGTTTATCTCTGGCTGCTGATTCTGAATTCATAACCCTTTCATACAAACAAAGTCACTCTTGGTGGGACTCTGAATAATTAACACAACAGGAAATGGTCGCTAGAGAAACAACCTTGTCATCAAGGGTTGGCTTCTCAGTCCATCTCATGACACGTAACTTAATCACCAATGTCCAACGACTTACCTATACCTACATAATCAAATCAAACATAAATGATTGGCCTTTGTCTTCTAGGTACAGAGGAAGGCAGAATTTGACAGCAAACTGGTGGTAGCACAAGAAAAACCCGTCAGTGGCAGCTACCACAAAGAAAACACAGCAGAGAACCAGAGGAGGGTCGAGACACATCTTTGGATACTCGGGGATCTCTGAGAGGCTGTTTGGGTTTCATGTTTTATAGCATGTTAAGCAGGGTCTGGAGACAGGAAGATGCCCTGAAGCTGTCCCAGAGAATCACACTTTCTAAGCAGCCGCTGTCTCCAGGCTGCACTTCCATCCCCCATCTCTGAAAGGCACTTTTACTGAGGTCTAATGATATGGAGCCAACTGTATGAGTGTTATATTGGAAGACACAATCTACACTAAAAGAAGGTGGGGAGAAAAATTCCTTGATTCAACTTCTCAAACCTTTCTAAAAATCAGAAAGGGGGAGGCACATTTAGAAAACTTATTTCACCAGAGGTGAAAATGGACACTGTAAGAAAACAACAAAAACAGTACCCTCGTGCACATTAATGCAAATCTTTAATAAAATACTGGCAAATACAAATAAGCTGAATACTGACAGGATAAGGAAGAGAGAATTTTATATAACATGATGAAATAAATTTATTTCTCAAATTGAAGGATGGTGCAACATACAAAATTTACACAATGAAATACATTATCTTAACAGAATGGCAAAAGAGAAAACCACATGACCACTTCAACCATTAACAGGAAAGCCAAATGACTAAACGGTAAACTTTAATTCACAAGTATGATGAAAACACACAGTGAGCGAGGGACTAAAAGAACAAGCGCCAACCCAAAGACTGAATAGCACACAGGGCACCCGGAGAAACATGATGACCAAGGCTTCTCCGCTAAGTCAGAAGCAAAGATAACCGTTCTCACCACTTCTAGAGTACTGGAGGGTTCTAGGCAGGGCAAAGAAGAAGGAAAGAAATTATAGAAATAAATGATCTGTTTGCAGAACAACAGCTACGAAACTAAAAAAAACTATAAGCATAAATAGTTTTAGCAAGGTAGCAAGATACAGAGTACAAAATAAACACACAAAAATTATCATTTCTAAAAAGGAAATCACAAAAAAACTCCATTTGCAATAACATCAAAAGAATGAAGCACGTAGGGACTAACCAAGAGAGATTTAAACAGTAAGAAACAGGAAGCAGAGATCAAAGAGAGAACAGAAACAGAAATGCGTCCCATGGCCACGTCCAGACGACTTGCTGAGATGCTCCTGCTACCCGAGAAATCTGCAGATTCAATGTACTCTCCATCAAAAATCTCAGTAAAGGTAATGAAGAAACAGAGAAAAATGTTAAAATTCATGGGTCCAGACTGGGTAATGGTTCCCACTTGTATCTCACAACTCAGGGGCTGAGGCAGAACTGCCATGTCCTCAGGCCCTCCCGGGCCAGCCTGGGCTAGTAATAAGTCTAAACAAACTACAAGACTTCTAATTCCTAAGTTGAAATCTTACTACTTAAAGACATACGGAAGAACGCAATAGCATGAGGATCCCGGAAATAACCTGTGTATAGCTAGTCACATGATTTTCAACAAGAGTACCAAAACCATTGACAGAGAAAGAAGAATCTTTTCATATCCAAATATTAACTCAAAATAGACTAAGGATTTAAATGTAAGACTAAATCCAAACCACAATTAGAAAAGAAAAACAGTAAAAGCTTCACAACATGGGCAACCAAGAGGAAGGAAGCACAAATGGAAGCACAAGTGGGAGACTTTATGAATTGTTTTTTTTAATCTGTGTAATAACAAAACACAATCCCCAAAGTAGCAAAAATGCAAGCTATTTTTGTGATCAAACAATAATCCCCAAAATATACAGAAAACTCTTAAAGGTAAACAGCAAAAGAAAAACCTTTTTTAAAAAAATAGGCACAGGCCGAGAATAGATATTTCCTCAATGACAACCAATGCGGGCCAGGTGGCTGAACAGATGAAAACACGGACAAGCCTCACTTCCCAGAACTCACATAAAAAGCCAGATACAATTGCATTACTTTTTATCTCAATATTCCTACAGTGAGATGGGAGATGCGGACCAAGAATCAGCCGAAGTTTTCAGGACCGCAGGCCCAGAGTACATGATGCGGCAAAAATAAGAGAATGGGCTCAGCAAGGCGGCAAGACCGAAGCAACTCACACAAACTATCCTCTCCACTCCACACGCCAAAGCATGCAGGCTCCCATGAGTGTGCATGGCATGCACATATAATGATAAAATAAATGTTTTAAAGGATACAAATGGCTAACAGGCCTACAGAAAGATCTTTGATACACCCTATACTCACAGCATCACTCACAGAGCTAAAAGGAGAAGCGAACGTCAACGTCCAGTGACAGAGGAATGGACGCGCAAAAGGATGCTTACGTTTGTGTGTTAGTTTCCTGCCCCATAACAAAATAACTGAGAGAGTTAACATGTAATGAGAAAAGGTTTACTCTGGCTCAGTTTGGAAAGGTCAGGCCAAGGCTAAGAGAACGAAGCAACTGTGCTGAAACAAAAAAGATTGTATCACAAACCAGGTATAAAAGAAAGTCCACTCAAGGTCTCAAAATCCTGATTGGAAGAACACCCCAGGACCTGAGGACCTCAAAGCCCCATCTCTAAAGGTCTCACCACCTCCCAATATTATCACTGTGAGGCTCAAGTCTTTAACTCATGGACTTCAGAAGGATGTTTATCCAAACCATGGCAACATATAATGAGATGTTATTGAGCCTAAAAGGAAGGAATCTCTGTAACACTTACAAGGTTTTGCTTTTGTTTGCTTGCAATGTGACCACTGATCTATATCCAAGGCTCTTCCAATTTTCTAAATGAATGGTTTTCAGTCACATCAGAGAGTAGAGACAAGAGTGTCACCTAGGAACCAGCTCTATAAACCCTAGGTCATGAACCCAGATGGAGAGAGCAATGTGGGGGTTGTGGAAAATATGACTAAAGGATTTCTGGTCAGCCCATCTCCATTCCTTCCACTCTGGCTACCAACCCTACCCCTACCTTCTACAAGGGCCCCCACACATGGCACAGACCTAGAAAAGGAAGCTTCTTTTGTAGCAGCAAGAGACCATTACAGAAAGCCACAGCTAACCAAAACATAGATAAAAACTACCAGGGGATCCCCAGCCAAAACTGAGATAACCACAACACAACATCTGCTCCTACAACTCAGCCAACATCGTGGAAGAAGAAGCACAAAGACTCTAAGAACCAGAGGACCAGGAAGTCAGCTGTGAAGTTGTGCCCCTACCTGTAACAGAGAAGCTGTGCCCATGGGCTCTCAGCAACATGGCTGCTGAACCTTCCTGAACAATTCCAAGAGTTGATATCCCAATATCAACAGAGCAACTGCCGAGAGAGGGAGAGTACGTCTTCCCCAGGGACAAGCCCCATGGATTCAGCAAGTTTTATTGATACATTTGTTAGCTTACATGCACATGCGACAATGAATGGTTAAGGAAGAGAGGACTGTAAGCTTGCTGGAGAAGAGTACAGGCATGAGAGAGAAGCAAGAAAAGGTAAAATAATTCAATTATAATTTAATTAAATTTAAAATTTTTTAAAGATCACTTCTGCTCCTCAGGAGTCTTTCAATATTCTGCTAGATGTCTAGGATATACAAATGGGAATAAATGGTAAATGTGCACAACTCTAGACAGGAAGAGTTCTTTATAATTAGTAGCCTTGGTGTCAACTTCTCAGACTTGCACAGTGTGCTCTTAAAGCTCATCACCCTGGGACCACACCTCTATATTACAACAGAAAAAGAATAAAAACAAAAAGCTGTGCATGGTAGCAACCTATTAAATAACAGCAATTGAGTAGCCAAGGCAGGAGAATGAGAACTTCAGGGTCAGACTAGGCATTGCGTTAGGATAGGAAAGGCTCAGTAAT